CACTGCTATCTTGACTAAGGGAAACCAACAGTGAAGCCTTGTGGCTTCACAGATGGTTTCCTACTGCGCATGATCAAATCACTCTGTGCTTTGTAAATGGGCCACAGTCTTCTGGGACCTGTGAAATGTCCCAGAGGGCTGCAGAAGGGAAGAAGAAGAGGGGGCCAAACTTCTACCTTAGTTTGCCACGGCGAACTGAGACAAAGTGGGAGCGGGTACCTGTCAAAACCAGGTACCCACTCCCCCCCAAAAGGTGCCAAATGTGGCAGAGGGGAGAAGGCAAATAAACAAAGCTTCCACTTTTGGGCAGGACTGTGCTTTAAACTATAAAAAGTCCCCAATTATTACTCTTTATGCAGCATGACAGCATTACAGCATTCAATACAGTATAGGAAGCTTCAATTGAGCTTTAAGACATTTAACGTAACAGAAAAATGCCTGTTTATCACTCTGAAAAGAAAAAACACTATTGACTTTAGATAGGATTTAATGCCTCCATTGAGGACATCCCCAATACAGAACAACACTGTGTTTATATCAGGTGTAAAACTGACATTTGTGTCAATCATTAATAGTGACAGGCCTTCCTTGGGTATGAGGAGCAGACCCTCCAGTAAGAAATGACCTATATCAGCTGGATTTAGAGCAAGAGGGTTGTCATAGTGGAAAGCAAACATTTAAAAGTCAACAATAATCCATGTCATGAAGGAACATGATCCGACTAAAATAAACTCAATCCAAAACGTATTAAGAGGAAGGCAAGAATCACACTGTTGATCGCTTAGGTTGGGCAAATATTTATAAAGGAAAAAGCTGCCGTTTACCAGCAGATGGCTGGAAATCTGGAGAGGAACCAACAGAACAGAAGTGTGGTTTCACAATCTCCAATAAACATAAATGAGTCTTATTAGCAAAGGAATAAAGCATTAAGATTTCAGCTGACTTAAAGAATCTGTCACATATACAGTAAAAGTAAAATCTGACTTGGCTGAACATGCACACACCATAAGAAGAAATGAAACAACACTGTAACTTGAGTAACTGCAGTCCTTTATGAAACCTACGACAAAGAACAAGGTGGTGAGAAAGATCTGCCCATGGTATGAGATCCATGTGCCCAAAATATCAATATTAATAAAAAGAGAAGAATACACACAATAAATTGATGGCTTTATAACAGCCATAATAGAAAAAAATATGAGTGCAGAGCTACAAACAATGTCCAGGTAGCAATTAGAATATATACGATTGTCCAATATAGAAATGTGATAAACAGTTCAATAATGAGGGACTCTCAGGGAGTATAGGTGTAATCTAATCCAAGGGATAGATAAATTGCCCGCTTACCAGAAGCGCAATTACAATGCGCATGTACAGGTTTCATGTAGCCGGGGTCCTATGTAGGCACTGCTTAATAGTACCCAGATGGTCCGTCGGTGATAAGGCGATACTGGTCTTGTCGGATCACACTGCTCCTTGGGTCCACACAGAGAACCTAAAAATGCTGGGGCTGAGGTATAGGAACTCCGTGCCAGGTATAAGGAGTAAAAATACTCATAGTGTAGTATGTTTTTTTAAAAAATATTTATTAAATCCAATACGTAAAAACCATAGGAGTTACAAAACACATGCCTGCAGCCTGTAACCAGTAAAAGCAGCTGTAAAAAGATTCTAAACACTGACCAGTGAGAAACATGGGTGGGCCGTTGGACCTCCTGACCCGCGCATGCGCAGTTGCGCCGATCGTCAGCGGGGCAGCGCTAGTGCGGTTTGGCGCGAATTTTAAAATATATAAAGAGGCAAACAGGCATGCATGGCATCACCCCTACGGTAGACGTGTATTGACACGAAACGCGTCTAGGAGGAGCCTTCGCACGCCTTGACGTTACGCCGCCGGGTCAGGAGGTCCGGCGGCCCACCCAGTATCACCTTATCACCGACGGACCATCTGGGTACTATTAAGCAGCGCCTACATGGGACCCCGGCTACATGAAACCTGTACATGCGCATTGTAATTGCGCTTCTGGTAAGCGGGCAATTTATCTATCCCTTGGATTGGATTACACCTATACTCCCTGAGAGTCCCTCATTATTGAACTGTTTATCACATTTCTATATTGGACAATCGTATATATTCTAATTGCTACCTGGACATTGTTTGTAGCGCTGCACTCATATTTTTTTCTATTTTAGTTGGAAGGGCTTGTAGTTCCTTTTTGTGCATTTGCCGCTCACTGGAGTGCGCTCACTTTCTTATTTATACACATAACAGCCATAATGTTTATTTAGTAACCCAATACATAAAAGAATGCATCGTTCTTACCAACATCCTACTCATAAAAGGTCAGACCAACCATTTCAATAGTGACCATTTTAACTGGAACTAAATTGATTGTAAAGTATAGATTTTTAAAAAAATAAAATAACAAACATATCATACTTACCTCCTCTTCTGCAGTCCCCCGCCAATGCCCCTGGCTCCTCTTCTTTGCGTGCCCTCATAACGAGCCATTGCTATGGGGGCATGCTATGGGGGCACAAGTGAGTGCTCACTCCTGAGTTGTGTGAGTTTATGGAGCCACGCTAATGGCTCCTGCTACTGCCCGAGCCCCTGTGAGAAAAGGAAGAGAAGGGAGAGAAGACTGCAAAATGGCACAGTACTGGGGAAAGGTGGGGGGTAGTAAATGGGGTGTTTTTAGCTGCATAAGGAGTTGGGAGGATGAGGTGAAAAAAAACAGCCATGCACTGATCTTCACAGTGAATGGCTGTGGGGAGTGTTGCGTGTCACCATAAGTCTGATCACTGGAAGACAGGCAGGCTGTTCTCCCAGCACAGCCAGAAAACTGAACACGCTTGGATTCTATTTCTAGCATGGTCAAGAATATGAAATGTTGGCGGTAACATTCTTTAACGTTTTCTCCCCAGTATTAGGATGGATGACCAACCCTGCTAACAAACACTGCAAGAAAAGATCGGACCATGAGGGAGGGGGCTCTTTAGTACTTCTGACTTAAGCCCCTTTCACACGGGATGGACCCGTCAGCGGATCCGCTTACTCAGTGGGGGATCTGTCTGCTGATACCTGCTGAGCAAGCAGATGACAGGTCCATGTCCGCTCCGTGGCTGAAGAGAAGACACAGACACAGCCTGATGTCCTCTATGGGCGTCAAATGGACATGGACCATCTGTTTCCATCTGACTGCCATCCCATCCAATCTGATGGACAGAAGGGGAATGGATCCCCATCGGTCTCTTTTTGGCGTAACGGATCAGATTGGATGATACATAAAAAGGAGAGTAGAGGTTCCAAATCAGGTCCACCTGAAAAATGGGCAGGCAGACCCTATCGGAACGTTGTGTGAAAGGGGCCATAACTGCATCACCAATGGTTCACCAGGAATGTAATAGCCAGAGACTTGTAAGAAAATCCACAGGCTGCCAAACAGCACTGGATGAGTCACCTGAATCTTTTTTTCCACAAGCAGCCCTGCAAAAATCATAATTAGTAGCCAATGGTCCCTGCACTCATTATTTTGTGACACTTCAATAAAGTTAAAATAAAAAAAAAAAAAAATGTTAACAATGCAATAGGTTGCAAGAAAGCATTGGTTGTAACACTAGCCCTATGTATTTTAGCCCCTAGGCGGGTGTGAACAAGTTCCAATTGTCCTTCCTAAACGATCTTTGAATATCTCTGAAGTTATTGGCCTTCTAGCATACAATGCAGCACATGGTGGGGAGCCTGCAGTGTTGATGGCGGAATCCCTCCCACAGAGCTATTGTGTTCTCCCGATGGGGGGGAGGGGCGCACATTTATAAATCCAACATGCTGGTTGTATTCCAGTCGATTGATGAATCCACTTGGTTACCATCAGCCTGCCCATAGATGGTTCTAACCTCGGCCGGTTCAGTAGGGATTCGAACCATCTATGGCTGGCTTAAAATAACGCCTCAGTCTTGGTGGTCAGTGGGAGTAAAAAAATTAAAAGAGAAGGAAAGTGCCCCATCACTGGTATCAATGGTGATTGTAGATGGAATAGTGCCACTTGTTGGCATCAGTGAGAGGAATAGTGCCCAAACATTAGGGGAGAACAGTGGCCCATCAATGGTGTCAGTGGAAGGAAAGATGCCCCATTATTGTGTCAGCGGAAAGAATAGTTTACCATCGCTGGTGTCAGTAGGATGAACAGTGTACCATCATTGATTTCAGTGGGAGCAATACTGGGACATTAGTGGAAGGTCTAGTATCCCAGGGCCCGAATATAGCAAAACAAAATGGCCTCATCTGGCCCATGGGCCGCAGTTTGGAGACCACAGATCTAACGCATGTGGCTTTGTTTGCCTCAGGGCTCTGAAGAAGAGGCATCATTCACATTTGTAAAGCACACTGCTGTGCTTTAGAAGTAAAAGTCCATAACATTGCTTATACATGGGCCCATGAGCAGACCAGATAGAGAGTCAGCTAACATGAATTTCTTGTCAGTGCTCATTTTCCAGCATCCGTCTATTTCATAGTGAGTCCCCATATGGAAGGAAAATATATTTTAAAAAATATCCTTCCCAAATATATTGCCATATATTTGAAATAGTACAATTTTGGCCATATTACACACACACACACACACACACACACACACACTGATTTTATTACAAAATATATGAAAAATATTTATAAAAATACATTTCAAATATACTGTATGTCTTTAACCACTTGCCATCCGGCCGCTGTATATAAAAACGGCCAGATGGTGGCAGTCCAGGGGTGGGTTGCTGTTCAAAAACGGCGGTCGCCATTCTGGACTGTGCGAGCTCCCTGGCAGCATGCAGCACCGCGATCCGGTACCCGCTGTGTCCTCCAGACACAGGGGAACACCGATAGTCATACGGGACCTCTGTGCGAGGTCCCGATCATGTGATCACTGATTGGCCAATCAGTGATCACATGCAGAGTAGTAAGCAATGATGTCACTTCTGACATCATTGCTTACTACGTGTGAAATCTGTGAATGATCACAGAGGTCACATGGTACAAGGCTATTCACAACAGCCTTGTGCCATGTGACAAGCTGTGACCAATCACAGCTCACACAGTAGTTCTCAATGGCTGCAAGAATGCATGGTGACACTGTACTGCTAGGGTAACAGTATGTAGAAAAAAAAAAAAAAATAAAATAAAAAAAAAAAAAAGTAAAAAAAAAACATTTTTTTTAAATTATAAAATTTTTGGTTATAAACTAATTTGGGTTCTTTTTTTTTACTAAAAAGATAACTGAATACATTTTGGCCAAGATTTATGAGGAAATATTAATTTATTTGCAAATTGTTATAAGAAAAACACTTTTTTTCAAAATTGGACTTTTTCATTTATATAGCAAAAAAAAAATAAAAATCCCAGTGGTGAATAAATACCACCAAAATAAAGCTTTATCTGTCACGAAAAAATTCTTATGGGTACAGTGTTGCATGACCATGCAATTGTCATTCAAAGTGTGATAGCGCTGAAAGCTGAAAATTGACCTAGACAGGAAGGGCGTGAAAGTGTCCAGCTTTGAAGTGGTTAAAATGGAACCTACAGCAGAGTTTGTCATCTCTGAAAAAAAGTGTCCGGACTTGAAGTGGTTAAAAATACAAATCTACATTTTTGGAAAGCATTTACAAATCTATATAAAAATATGTTAAAAAAAAAATCTGAAAAAAATATTTTTAAAAATATATATTTTTTAAATATATTCTTCAGATTTTTTTTAACATATAAAGTAATTTTAACATATTTGTACATATATTTGTAAATGCTTTCCAAAAATGAAGATTTGTATTTTTAAAGAGATACTGTATATTTGAAATGTATTTTTAAATATATTTTCATATATCTTGTAATAAAAACGCATTTCAACATGATAGAATATTTAAAGAATATTTTAACAATATAATTCAAATATATTTTTTCTTCCATGTGGGTCATTATGACATGTTTGCATACATGTTTAACCACTTCCTGTCCGGCCCAACGGCTGGACGGGAGCAGTGCAGGGGCAGGTTGCCGTTACAAAACGGAGCCCGCCATTTTAGCCTGTGCGCGCTCCCTGGAATCGCTGTACGGGTCCTCTGTGTGAAGTGTTGATCATGTGATCACTGATTGGCCAGTGGTCACATGAATAGTAGTAAGCAAGATGTCACTTGACATCATTGCTTACTACGTGTGAAATCTGCGAATGATCACAGAGATCACATATCTGACTGGATGTCACTCCACTTCCTTAAACTGAACCTCTCCAAGACCGAGTTTCTTGTCTTCCCCCCAGCCCGGACACCACCCCCCATTGACTTCTCCATCATGTCCAACAACGCCACCATCAAACCCGCCCCGCAGGCCAGAGTACTTGGTGTCATTCTGGACGCCAACCTATCCTTCCAGCCCCAAGTCCAATCTTTAACAAGCTCGTGCAACTCCACCTCCGCAACATCGCCAAAATCCGCACGTTCCTAACCCAGAAACCACTGAACAGCTCATCAACTCCCTCATCATATCACGACTCGATTACTGCAACTCCCTCCTCACTGGCCTGCCTCGCCGCTGGCTATCCCCGCTTCAGTCCATCCTGAATACGGCTGCCAGACTCATTCACCTTTCCAACCGCTCCGTTTCCGCCACCCCCCTCTGCCAATCCCTCCACTGGCTTCTGATTGCGCAACGGATCAAATTCAAAATCCTAACACTGACGTACAAAGCTGTCCACCATACTGCCCCGAACTACATCACTGACCTAATATCCAAGTACCGCCCAGCACGCACACTCCGCTCCTCACAAGACCTCCTCTCTAGTTCCCTGGTCTCCTCCTCCCATGCCCGCCTCCAGGACTTCTCCAGGGTGTCACCCATCCTCTGGAACTCCCTGCCCCAACCCATCAGATTATCACCCACTCTCCTCTCCTTTAGGCACACCCTGAAAACCCATCTCTTCAGGGAAGCCTACCCCACCCCTGCTAACTTGCCGACCTCCTCCACTCTTCCTACCACCCCATCCCCCACAGCTATCTCCTCCTGTACCACTATCCTCTCCCTCCTAGATTGTAAGCTCGAAAGAGCAGGGCCCTCAATCCCCTCATGTTTTGCATTGTATTGTTATTGTACTGTCACATGTTCTGTCCCCCTTTGTAATGTACAGCGCTGAGCGAACTATCGGCACTTTATAAATACTGTATAATAATAATAATAATCACATGGTACAAGGCTTTTCTTTTGTTATAAACGAATTTGGGTTCTTTTTTTTTTTACTAAAAGATAACTGAATACATTTTGGCCAAGATTTATGAAGAAAGATTATTTGCAAAATTTTATAAGAAACACTTTTTTAAAAAATTTTGGACTTTCATTTATATAGCAAAAAAAAAATTAAATCCCAGTGGTGAATAAATACCACCAAAATAAAGTTATCTGTCTCGGAAAAAATGCAAAAAAAAATTCATATGGGTACAGTGTTGCATGACCGCGCAATTGTCATTCAAAGTGTGATAGTGCTGAAAGCTGAAAATTGGCCTGGACAGGAAGGGGGTAAAAGTGTCCGGACTTAAAGTGGTTAAAAATAGGGGGAAAAAAATACTTGTTTGCTTTCTTACCCCAACATGCACAAATCTTACTAGTTGGCCTCTCAGACAATATAGGGGACCTGACTGGTTTCAGAATGAATCAGTTTACACTACCATTTTGTAAATTCTCTTCAGGACTTGCCAGTGATGGGTTAAAAAGCGCAGCCACAAAGGATCTGGTTTCCAGGTATTGTTCTAGCAGACACCTAGAGAGCAGATAATGTCATTTTCATCCTGCATGTAAAAACATAAGTAAAGTCAAATTACCAGTTTTTCCTTCCCTGAGGCATTAAAGTGGGTGTGTGAGTGAAAAAAGGAACCTTAATACCAGGAATTTAAAGATTCTCCGTACAGCCAGCAAGAATGTCAAACAACAACACAGCATAAGATCAATGGGCTGCATAATGCCACCTCTGTGAGTACACAAATCGCTGAACATGGGATACGACAAGCAAAGTAGAGATAAAATGGGCCTTAATTCATCATCTTTTGTGGTCAACCATGTTTATGACACCAAAGAAAGACTACATTCAGAGAGCACACATTGGAGTTAGTATTGGAACCCTCAACTGGAAGAAAATCCATTTTACGGCTTGTTATTCACAAGATTTCCCTCTAGTAGCTACTGGTATATCAATAGATGGACTGAAAACATAAGTCATATAGAGAATGTGTTGGTTTTCAGTGAATTGGAGAAGACTTGGATCCAGTACATACCACTTGCACTACAGTAACGCATGCATTGGTGTGCGGTGACACCATTCATTATGAGCTGCATTGTAGCCTTTTTCTTTTGGATGGGCAGCCTTAAGCCTAGCACACGATAAGAAAATTGTCCGATCATTAATACACAGTTTGAGAGCCGATCACAACAGTGCATGAGAAATTATCCAAAGGGACAAGCAAAAAAATGTTTCTTATACGATACCAGAAGAAAAGATTTTCATTTAATCAGTGTAGTATTACTAATATATTTAGTATTTGCGTACATATGAGGGGGTGGGGGCTCAAAAATGTTTGGGGGGGGGGGGGTTTATGTGCTTGGGTAACTTTAATTTTTTACAAATTGTGATGAAGAAAAATTTTTTTTTTCCTTCATCACAAAGGGGACAAAAATCCCTTATGTGATGATATTTTTTGGCGACAGGTTATTGAGACATTCAGGATGTCTCCCCTGTACGCCACGTACACATCACACTGCATTACATTGGAGGACAGGAAATCTGTCAATGGAGACCCAGAAATGACATTGCATCACTTCCAGGTCAGGACAAAGGGGGGGGGGGATGTGCCCGCTCTCCTCCCTCCCCTATAATCACCGGCACCCATTGAACCAGTCCCGGGCCAGCAGATAGGCAAGCAGAGCCCGGAAGACATAGCAGGCGGGGGGGGGGGGGGGGTTGAGAGGCTGGCATTGTAGTGTGCTGTGTGGAGGTAGCAAATTGGGCGGCAGCTGCCCGAATGCCTCCACCTGACAGATGAGCCCTGCTGCTTGCTGCAGGGGCTAAAAGTTAAAAAAAAAAAAAAAAAAAAAAAGAAAACTACCTGCCTGGCACCTGGAAATGCATGTCCCCGGCGTCGGGCGATATAAATTGAACATCCCTGCAGAACCCCTGACCTTTGTTTGGACAGTGCCTATTGGCCCTGTGCTGATCACATGCACCCGCCCAAGGGAAAAAAAAAAAAAAACCTCTCTATCAATACACACCAAACTGAGCATGTGCAGAGTGCCTCCACACAATATGTCTTATCAGGAGATAAGAGGGGGGGGGCACCAGAAAAAGGGGAGGATCAGAGAAGTCAGGATCAAACATCCGTTTTACACAATGCAGAAGACTGACCCCTTAGGTTCCGCACATGAAACGTTGTTGCATAAATCCCAGCGTGGTTACTATCACAGCACCACTGCGGAGATGTACACATGGTTCAGGCTAGGCTGCCTCCAAGTATTTACTTATCTACTACAATGCCAAACAACACCCTAGGAATGTCCTTTGTGTGACCCAGGGAAGTGCTCATTCCAGGTTGGCAGGCATGGACTAGCAGCGTTTATCAGACACAGACCAAAGCCACAAAGCGAAAGCCCATGTTTATCTACACATGGGGAACATGTCAAGTAATGGATGACACCAAATCACGTTCCTACTTTACCAGTTGGAATACCAGAGCCGAGCACACAGGGGCCACAGCTGTTTCTTCATATTCCTTTGTATGACTCAGGAAGGTAACGTGCGGGCAACTGCAACCAGATTCTTCATAGAGCAGCAACAATTGACATACTGCACATTCACATCAGTCCCTGCCCTCAAGGAGCTTACAGTCTAAGGTCCCTAGTCCCTATCTCACATGCATACATACCATGGGGCTAAAATTAGGCTCTTGTTCACAGGATGCATATTAACCCATTCATGCAGGTGCCTCCTGGTCCTTTAAAGGGATTTCTGACACCGGGCGGGGTTTAGAGTCATGTGACTGCCGTGATTGCCTGTCATGGCAGTCACATAATCGGAAAGGTCCCGATTGCAAGGAGAGATCACACACATGTGCTGTCTAGCAAATCTTGAGGAGGGAGAGGCCGAGCCACAATGTCAGTGTCTATGGATGTGCACAGCCCGTCTTGGGAGCACATCCACATGAAAAAGGCTTGCTATGGTGGTGCACACAGAGGGAGAGCCAAGAGCATCAGTGGGGGACCCCAGAAGAAGAGGTTCACGGATGCTCCGTGCAATAGCACTGCGCTGAGCAGGTAAGTACTGGATAAACTTGTGTTTGTAAAGGCAAATCCTTTTTTTTTTTTGTCAACCTCTTTCAGTGCCCTGTTAACACCAAACATGTGCAAAGAACATGCAAACTCCATGTAGATAGATGTAGTGTCTGGGCCAGAATTCAAACCGAGAATCCCAGTGTTACAAGGTAAAAATGCCACAAAACTAAGGTACTGTGCAACACCATGTTTTCCTAACAGAAAATGTCAAGTTTTAAAGCTTTGTTCACACTAGTGTGGGTGGAAGCTGCCACGGGGCCCACACTTTGTCCAGCAGCTGCAACCATCTTCACACAAAAAAATGCAGGGACCCACGGGCCATTAATTTCAAAGACACGCCACCCGCACTGGAACTCGCACCAACACTAGTAGTGCAGTTCCCAGTGCAGGCTGCGATTTCTGGAAAGGTACGTTTTGCGAGACACTGCAGCCCATTCAAATGAATGGTACAAAAGTACTATGTGATCTGGTGCAGGCAGAAGCGAACAAATGCACTTCATATGCAACCTGCGTTTGGGGTGTTGCTAGTTTTCTACTGACACCTGCTGCAGTTCGTAAATGGAGTGCTTTTTGCAATTTTGGAATTGCGTAGGAACTCACAGCATGTTCCTGTGCGGGCATGGTGTGAACCTGCTTTAAAGTAATAGGAAAGGGTATGGTTTTACAAAAAAAGAGATGGGCACATCAAAAAATAAAATCAAACTTATTGCTTTTCTTTGCAAAATGAAAAAAAGTTGGGTAATGATCCAAAAGCAGTAGGAATGTCAGAGGAATCAGATCCACAGAATTGATTAAACAGAAGCAGGGAGATCCTTGCACTGCAAGTCCTAAATTACAACTTTCTCTTCAGCAAGGACAGTTACACAACAGTGAACAGCACATTAGAGACCTCTCCAAATC